GTCACGAAGAGTCGGACACGACTTAACGACTGAACAACAACAATAGTTTGCAAATTTGTTTTCTGCATTTATTGGATGGACTAATTAACCTATTGAATGATGTGGTATTATTTATTTCCTCCAGTTCTTTTTCTGAATAGTTCTCAGAGTAGCTTACATGAGAACTGTAATAAGACAATATTTGTCCAAAGGCTTGCAATCTAAAGCACATGACACTAGAAAGCTAAAAAGGAGAGTGAGGGAAGTGGGCCAAAAACCCCAAGCAAACAAATAAACCAGGCACCATTTTTAAAGCTCTAAAGTTCTTATAATTCACCAGCTTGAAAGGGAACAGGTCAGAGAAAACAGGCATTCTTTAATGCTAGTCTCTCAGCAGAGTGAATGGAGAAGTTGCATCGTTGTTAGGAGGTATTTGGAACTGAACTCTGTAAAGCCAATGAAATAGTTCTTCGGCCCCTTCTTGATGGAATGTTGATGCCACAGGCCATTTGAACCAGGTGTGCTAACATTTCCCCAAATCTCATACGCGTTCTTGAATGTAGCCAGCGAGACCTACTGTTGCTAATGTTAAATCCCAATTAAATTATGAGTGCTGACTTTAGAAGCTAGGGTATACATAGAATATAACAGGATGAGAGTTGCAAAAATGAAAGGGAAATACTTGAAGGACAGGAAGGATGGATAGGAATCTATAGAGAGAGGAGAATGATAAGGAAAAGTAATGTTTTAATTAACAAATTATAGGACAAGAACAATTTTATCTGTGGTGTCCTTGGGGTTCTCTGAGCTTGGTTCTTTTCTTGCAAACGGTTCATTACCCGGCTAGGTAACATCTTCAGAATTTGTTATCTTCTGTGTTGGTTCTTTTAATTTCTCCTCTTTAAAACTCTCTATGCAGTTGTCACTGGATCCTGGAATTAATGTAATTCTGAATTTGTAACTTCTGTAGTCCTTTCATGCCTAGCTACTAATAACTCTGCTGTCCTGGTTAGAAGTCCACAGTCAGGTTTTGACATAGTCAAAATGTGGGTTGTTCATTGGCTTTGTTACTGTGAATTGTACCATTGTTGTTTGATAACAATGGTTTCTTTCTTGGGATTGGTTTGTTTTCCACCCTAAGCCAAAACCAAACTCTTGTGTGTGTTTGTATTATGCATTAACCAGGCCTGTTACTCACCTACTTCAAGTTTTAACTTCTAAAACTTTCTGCCATTACAGACTGTGTTTGTCTCCCTTTCTCTTGCTTTGCTTTCCAGTTCCATTCTGTGCAAACTGTTCTGCTACTGGTTCCCTTTTGTTCCTTTCTCCCCCTCATTATATTATATTTGGTTGCCACTGCCATTTCTGTCCTTCAGGGCACTCTTTTCTGATTAGTTGCCTCTCCTAATCTTCCTCATTTCCACCTGTGCAAGAAATGTACATACTATTTATGTGTTTCCTACAACACACATAGCAAGTAGTACTGCATAGTGAAGCCTGATTTTTTTTTTGTGAAGGAAAATTGATATAGTACATGGGATAGATGGAATGGTTCCTTGCTCTCACAGCAAGAGTGGAGAAGTAGCAGCTTGGACAGAACTGCAAATTAGATTTGAAACAAGCCAAGCATACATTCAATTTTTGCATATGTTCTTAACAACTGCTGCTTCTGCTGGTACTTTTTAAGGCCCTGTTAAACTTGCAAAGTATTGTTACAGTAATCAAAAACTGTTTGGATTGCAATGGGATAGAAATCAAATAAGTAAATAAAATTCCATGAAATAGATTATTAACATTAGATCTTATGATAGAAATCAGGATTCCATACCGTGAGAATGACTATCACACAGTGTTTTAGGCAGAAAACGTTCTAGAATTGCAGCTTATTAAATTCTTGTTTGCATATAAAGAGCCATAAGATTAATATCTAAGATGATCCTTTTTAAAAATCGTAGGTAGTGTCAGCTACGAGTACAGATGAATCTACAGAATCAGAGGTGGTAATAGATTCTCAGAAGCGGAGGGAGATACTTTCAAGGAGACCTTCATATCGGTAAGCTCTATCTTAGTGTAAAATCAGTTTTTCTTTTTATTTAAAATTATTCACTTTTTCATGGCATCGGTCAGCATCTCTAAATATATTTCTTTAAATATTTATTTATTTGTCTCAGAAAAATTCTGAATGAGCTTTCTTCTGATGCACCTGGTGTGGCTAAGATTGAAGAAGGAAAGCCAGAGGAAGAAGGAGCACCCTCTGGAATCCCTGCCATGGCTGTGCCAACCAGCCTTTATCAGACTAGCACCGGGCAGTACAGTATGTCTTCTGTAATATCAGACTGCCTATTTAATGATCTGTTGTTCTTAAAAGGAAAAAAACAAATTGCAAAAGCAGTAAAATTAGCTACAGGTGATAGCAGGAAAGAAGATTCAAGGAAAACTGGCCTTTTAAAGCCATGAAACCAAGATGCAGCTTTCTTTGTTATCATTTATTTTAATAATCTCATAAACCAACTAGAAATGTTGCTTGATTTATTCCTATGGTTTTCTTCACCTTTTATTGATGTTCCTTCATACGCTTAGTTTCAGAACCATTGATTGGAGGTTAAGGAACATAAAGATGTCTGTATAATTGTCTCCCATAAATACATATTTTGTGACAGCCTTTTACAGTAACTTATTAGTAGGCCAGTGTTTTTCAAACTTG